AAAAATATTGCTGCTAAAGGAATTGCATTGTTCAAATAGATGTTCAATATGTTCACAGCAGAGATTACAGAGTGCTGAATCTGATTAATGATCTGTACAGGTTTCAGTACAGCGACAGCATCAAATTACGTATTTGGTGTGATGAAAGCTTTATTCCCTCTGGTGTTTTATGCAAAGCAGATTTCTCAGATGAAGTGTTCGTCATCAAGGGTCATACTCTGATAGGCCAGGACTACAGGCTTTGCAGGGAAGGCTGGAGTACAGTCTGGAGCAAAAGGATAGAAATCTGTTGTCATTATGTACTTAGACATTCAGTGCAGAAAATGAAACTATTGCTTCAAGGAGGGACCTGATTACCAGAGTCTTTTGGGTAGCTAAAGAGTTTATCTAATCTCCTTCAGTTGATGACTCATTGGAAAAGAAGCACTAGTGATAAATTTGAAAAGGAAACAGAATAAAAGGTTAGGCAAAGAGACAAGACGTGTTCCCAGCAGTGCTGCTGATCTGGGTGAGCTGGGGTCAGTCACATTGTCATGCTGCAACTGTTCTCTTTGTCTCTTGTTCATCCTGTCAGTTTAAAGACATCAGCTTTTTCAGTCAGTGATTGCAGCACCACATCCAGTCTTATCTGTCATCTCACTTGGGATTTCTGGGTTCTACTTGAAACTGTAATTTGCAGGTAGATTCATCTTAAAAAAATCACATCCCAATAAGAGCATGGGACACTTCAGCATATTCCTTGATCATTCTACTATAACAAGAGAGATAAATGAGATTTCTGATAGCATTTTTCAAATATTTACCCTTGTTCTTTCTAACCCAACTTCCATTGTTTACTTTTCTATATTTTTGATAAACATTCGTTTCTTCTTGTAGTCAAAACAAACATTGCTTCTGATGGTACTGGAGATCTCAGAGGCTGTGTGATTGAAAATGTTTCTGGTGAAGCAAGGGAAACAAACACTTTGGGCTATTTACAAAGAAGGAACAGCCAGAAATTGAGTGGACCAGGAATCTTAATTGAAGCTGTTTGTTAAATACCACTTATGTGCTGAGCTGAGTCAGAGATTAGATTCAGGTTAAGGGAAGTGTTCTCTGAAGAAATGTTAAACCACCTGAGAGCTGAGAACTGGCTTATGGATACAAGAGTACCACATTGTTGATCTTTTCTAGCTCTCTCCATCTATGTATGAAGTAGGTGTGCTCGGGACTCTCTGGGTGAAAAGACTGTGTCCTGAATTATGTTATTTAAGTTTTGTGGGTCTACCAATATTGTGGTATCATGTACTTGAAAGCTTGCCTGATTTTTTTAACTATATCAGTGGGTTCAAAAAAGGATACATCCTCTCACTGCTCCTTAAAAGCCTGAAGAATCTGATAATTAGACCACTGTTGAATCACAATGGGCTTTATGACAAAAAAACAACTCCCACAGGGACTCAAGTACTTGGCTGTTTTATGTGGATAAATTAAAATTATGGGCTCGTTGCAGCCACTAGTGCTTCTGCAGGACTTCTCATGAGCAAGTCTCAGCGTATTTTAGGAGTCAGCCTTGCCAGGAAATGGAGACACAGCAGTCAAGCAAGAGGCCAGTGGCCGAGTTAGAACTGAAGCCCAGCTCTCCTCTGGGTGAGTGACCCCATGTTGCTCTTGCAGTGCAAATATCAGCTGCTTTCTCCCACGATAACTGGGGAGCTGGGAGTGGTGTGAGGGGCTCCAGCTTAGCATGGGAACCAACACTCAGACTGCAGCCACTGCACTTGCCCTGGAACTCTGTACTCTTCAGTAGTAACTCCCTGGGAATCAGAGTTCCCTGTGCAAGATGTGTCTTGTGGTGGTCAACAGGATTTTGGGAGGTTTTCTGCTACTGCTGGTTGGTCTTCAGTTTAGCATCAGAGTGATGCACCCTTGCTTGCCTTGCAGGAAAACTCTGAGGTGTTCTTGAAGGAGTTAATCATGACTTTGAAATACACTCAACAAGAACCACTCATGGACTGGGGGTAGGTTTCAGTGGTGTGGGACACAACAGCATTCCCAAAAGTAATAGCAAGTAGAGCTGAACCCTGCTGAATTTTCTGGCATGGCATTATGAATGTCTTAACAAGATGGGAGCATCAGGACATCTCTGGGTCCCTGTTGATGTCTGCTTGAGCAAGTGTGCTCAAAGAGTAACACACCACCAGTCACTTTTCTAGGGCTTTTATTAACTCAGTGGAGAGTCACTCTAGGATGCACCAGAGGTCAAATCATGCTTTTTAGTTTGGATACTGGAATCTCGCTCCCATGTAAGGAAAGGATCATACGCCTTTGGCCAATGCTTTTAATACTTTGGGTACAGCTTTTGATTTAGAAGTCTGATCTTTCTTAATTCAAGCCCACATGAACAGGCTGTAGACACCACATACAGGTTCACCCCTATCTCAGTTTCACTTCAGCTGAGGGCATTGGATTGGAGGTAGAAGTTGCAGCAACGGAAACCTTTCAGAGCAGGTTAGGTTAAGACTTATCAAGAATTACGTGAATTAATTATAGATTAAGCTTAGGGACAAGGAATGTGTTTCCACATGGATGGTTCAATTGGAACACGGATTTTTTTTGTGCTGCGGTTTCCTAGTTACTGTGGCTGTTGAGTAGTTTTCCTTTTGTAGTCACCAGGTGGTCTGTGATTAGAGATTAATTCTGTGCTAGGTTTTATGTCTGTCAGTGTGTAGGCAGGGTGCTAAATTGCCAGCCATGGAGCTGGGGACTGCCAGCCATTTATTGCCACGTGTTTGTGCTGTTTTGTCCCATTGGCTTAAAACCACTTTGTACTCCTTCTGTCTTCCCTGACTCTACTAAGCCCAGGAACCCTATACCTTCCTCTGAGTCTCAAAGATCTGCCCTCATCCTTCTGAAACAGACAACCCTTCCTTTTTTCCCCAAACTTTTTGGCCACCATCTGCTACCTTGACTTGGTTTGGGTAATTTCAGAGATCCCCTGCATTCTCAAAAGTCAGAAGCTTCCTACTGTTGTTTCCCTTGTTGTTCCTGCTCCTGGAGGCCTATTTCTACTGTACAATATTTTGCCTTGAGTGTGAAGGTCTCCTTTTAGGGGCAGATGTGATTACAGCTGCAGTGCCCTTCAGGATGGGAAATCCATGCCTCCAGAGGAAGAGTTTGCAAGGCTACTCAAGCAGGACCTCATAAGTAATAGGTCCTGTCTGAGCTGCAGGAAGATGGCTGTGCAAGGCTTTTCTCAGCAGAATTATTACTGTAGGTTATTTAAACATAGCCCTCCTGGGTCATTGTATTCTGTCAACCCAGAGCAGTAGCTGGCAGAACTGGTAAATGGTTATGGCTGTCAAATTTACATGTAGTCCTCAAAAAATGCTTTATAAAATGCTCGGTATCTGAATTCTCATCAGTTCAGGACAAGATACAGCTTTATTTTGAGAATATATTATTTTGTCAATAGCATAAAAATAACCAGAATGATTGATAAAGCACCAAAATGAGGAAGAAGCTAATATATATTTACATACGAGAGCATGTTGTATTATTAAAATTAGACCTGGATGAGATGTTTTTCCTTTTCCCTGGAATCTTTCAACTTTAAAATTAAAATCTTTCCTCCCTACTGATACAGATCAAAATAGCAGTGTCTTTGATGTAACATAAAGTCCTGGTTGTTTGATATTTCAGGCTATTTGTTATATTGCTTCCTTTATTAAAAATTGCAGTAAAGTGGGTTTAGTTTCTAAATCCAATTCTCAAAATACACTTTTTTAAAGAATTGACGTTTTGATGATTCTGAACCACTTTTCACAATGGCCCTACTTTACAATTTTTTTTTAAGTATCAGCCTTTTTTAAAACAGCCCCAGAACAATTTTGTTGAAGAGGTCCTGTCTGACTCTGTAGTCATTTCTTCTCAATTGTGGCACTATTTTCTTTGTCACAGTGAAACTCAACATCTGTTCTGCCTGTCACCAGTTCAGCCTTGGGTGCTGTAGGTTCAGGGCTCATGTGTGGGTGCACCCTGACAATAAAAAACCTTGGGGTGAGCTGCTTCCCTCCAGTGAGCAGCAGGGGCGGCTGTTGTGCCTTGTTATTCACTGTATTATTTTGTATGTTCATTTTACAAAGTTACCAACAATTTACAGAAGTACAGCCTCGGCAGCCTGTGTGTTCAGTGTGTGGATTGTAGAATACATCTGATTTACAGCCCCATCCTGCTCTCAGAAATGTTGTAGAGAAAATGTCTATTGGATTTTCGAGAGCGAAAGTGGACCTTTCAAGCACCTGGTTAATTTGTCTCCTTTTGTGCACTGTGCAGGGCTGGTTTTGCTGAGGCCAACACTTGTGGTGCATTGTTTTGCTTAATGCTCTTGTAAAGCACTTTTCCAAGCTTAGAAGAGACAGCTGAGGCAGTAGTTCCAAAGCATCCTGACTCTTGGCTTACCTTCACTGCTGTTTTCTTGAAAGGAAAGTTTCCTGCTAACTGGGAAGAAGGTGAGGCACTGGCACAGGTTGCCCAGGGAAGCTGTGGATGACCCATCCCTTCAAGTGTCAAGACCACGTTGGATGGGGCTCTGAGCAACCTGGTCTAGTGGAAAGTGCCCCTGCCTGTGGCAGGGGGGTGGAACTGGATGATTTTTAAGACCCATTCCAACCCAAACCATTCTGTGATTCTTTGACGTTCAGCAGCTCTCACCACTTCTGGTTTGGTGTTCCTGGTGGGCAGATGGGGATGGTCCTTTCCTTGCTGCTTCATGAGGCTTAGTTGAAGGTCTTTCTCGAGCCTTGGAGGCAGCAGGTTGTCACAGTGGTACTGTTGGTTCTTGCTGCTGTAAATGAGGCTTGTAGAGAGTCCCCCTCCAGCTGGGGGAAAGGCAGCTCAGCCTTGCTGCAGTAAATCTCTGGCACAGGCTTTGCCCTTCAAAGTCAAAATCAAAGTGGGAATGAGATCAAAGCTTAGGATCTTCCTGCTTTAAAGTCACGGGACAGATCACAGTCTGTGTCCCAATCCATGTGCTGAGGGGCTGGCTGGGAACGGCAGAGACACTGGATGTGGGGGAGGAAGGAGGGATGGCAGCTGTGTGTGTTGGTGCTGGTGCAAGCTGGCTGCTGACGCTTGCAGGCTGGCAGGAGGATGTGCCTGATCAGCTCTGTGGGTAGAGAAAATGTCCTGGATCAGTTCGTGCTGGCAAGAGCCAAAGTGAGAAAAATACTGAGACTGAAGTGGATGAGAGTCTTTCCCAGGCTTTCCATACAGAGCTTCCCAGAGTCCCTTCCCTGCTCACAAGGTACATACCACGTTTTCCTTTTGAACATATCACTGAATTGACCCTCTCTTGCTACAGAAATGTCTCAGTTTCCTTCTCAATATGGGGGGTAGGGTTTAGCCATTTAACTTGTGGGTGGCTGGTGTTACCCTTCATTCCTGTTGTCCCTCCTGAATATCAAATTTTTGTTCCCTTGCATCAGGAGGCAAGGGAAGGCTTGTGGCTCTGGGGTGACACCCCCCACCCAGCTTAATTTAACCTGTGGTACTGCCCTCAGAAATAGGTCTGGAGCAGGTTATTCTTGCTTTTCTCCCGGCAGAGAGTTCCCATTATGATTCCACTGGTATCACTTAGAGGTCCTTGGAGTGCTGGCCTGGAATAGTGCTGGGCACAGGAGAGCAAGCAAAGCAGCAGCTAAAATGAAGGTGGTAGATGGGTTTGATTTCTGTGGTTCTTGTGTGTTGTGTCACCAGTGACTTTCAGAGCACATTTTGAAGTACTCTGGGAACCTTATCTGTAGGATAATATTACAGTGTTAATAAAGGAACAGGCAGGAAAGAAACATGTCCATTTTTTTCCAGATCAAACGGGAAAAGAAGCAGCTCGGGAGTAAGGAAGTAGTGATTTCAGTGCAGTAGAGAAGGCTGTCAGGCTTTTAGCAGGGTGATTGTTGATAGGCAAGAATAGAGTGCATTACTGTCAGAACAATTCCATCCCACGTTGCTTTAAGTCTCCTCAGCCCAACTGGCACAGGATGCATGTTTGCATGGTGAAGTGCCAGTAAACCAGGCTAGGGAGGAGCCAGGCTTCTCCTATCTGATTTAAATAATGTAAAACAACTGTCCTTTAGTGGGAAATGCTAAAAATCCCAGACAGTGCTGAAGCCCCTTTCATGTGATGAGAAATTAATTCAATTCCTGGTATAGCCAATGGTGAGATTGATTTATGCCTCAAGTTCTAACATTAATCTTTAATTTATCCTAATGCCTCTTCATCTAGCTGAGAGCTCAGTATCTCCTGACTCTGCTGTTGATCAATTTTCTCCTATCTTTTTCATTGTCTCTCCCCTTGTCTAAACTCCTGACCATCTTTTTATACTTCATCCCACCTTATCAGTCATGGGATATGTCTCCTTTCCATTATTTACTTCCTTTTCCCAAGTGGGACCATAGAATGGTTAGTGTTGGAAGGGACCTTAAGGATTATCTAGCTCCAAACCCCCTGCCATGTGCAAGGACACCTTCCACTAGACCAGGTTTCTCAGAGCCCCATCCAGGCTGGTCTTGAACACCTCCAGGGATGGGAAGTCCACAACCTCTCTGGGATTGTCCCTCTGGAGGGTGTCACAGTGTGGCTGTGTACATGCCAGCCACCTCTCACAGTGGACTCACGGGATAACAAACCTGTGCAGGAGCACAGATCCCATCTATATGTTCTGCAGCTTTTGCTCCATATGTATGGAGCAAATAGAAGAGTAGCATCTTATCTGAATGGCCATGCAAATCCATGGGATTACTCATGGGAGCAGGGAGCTTTAACTCTGTGATTCATACAGAGTGATGCTAATGCGATCTTCTTAGGGAGGGGCTTCATGGTAGTCTCTTAGGTCTGTTTTATTTCTGCTCTCCCCAAAGTATCACCTGTGAGCTGGGAGAGTGTGGTTGGCAAACTGTAGTCGGATGTTACAGACTTTATCTGATGAAATGACTGTCTGGGGGAATAAACAAACAGTGTTTTATGTTTGGCTTTAGGAAATTCAGAGATTAGTTAAGGCTGTGTTTTAAACCTCTTCCATAAACAGACTCCAGCTGTGGCAGCCCCTTGCTCCAAGCTGCAGTGCCAAAATACAGGCTTTTTCCTGGACAGGCTTTGTCCTGAGATGATCTCTCAGTTTGTGAATGTGTTCTGACTTGGCAAAACTCAGTTGTTTAAAATATTCAGCATGACAGCTGTGAAACTCTACAGACCATGGTCCAGTGACTGACTGGGGGAGTCACCAGTGCCCTCTGCAGAATGACAATCAGCACTGGTGTGACACCAGTGGTGCTGACAGCTCCAGCCTGGGTGGTTTGTGGGCACATCACCCCTTGTCTGTCGTACATGAGACATGGAGGTGCAGCTTTTTCCAGGAGATGAAAGACAAAAAGCAAAGGATGTGAAATCCATCGGCAGCCTGGAAATGTATTGGTGTTTACACTGCACTTTTCTGTGTGCAAGGCTAAAATAGGACACATCTATGTCTAACTTTAAAGGAGCAGAATGCTCCAGTAACCTGCCTGGGCTGTAAACCTCACATTTGATCATGATGTCTATTCGCAGGTAAAGAATCAAATATTTGGGCTGAAAGGCTTGTTGCCAATTTGCTGTGCAGCTTGTTTGATTAAATTTCAATATATGAAATTCCCTTTGATGGAAAAGAAAGGCCAGCACTTACAACAAACCCCATGGTAGTGTATTTATGACAGTACAAGTTAGGCAGATGAATAACAGTATTTTGAGGAATTTCTGTGAGCTGCCTGGTGGCTACAATAGGCAGCACTGCACCGCCAATTACATGTATCATTTGTCCAAGTGGAGTCACTGCTGTGACTCCCCTTAAGCTCATGCACAGCACTACAGATGCTGTGCCAGGATGGCTGGGTAATAATGATACCCCTTCTCTTCTTAAGAGATGCTTATCTGCAACTTTCACTCGTCCTTTCATGTGAGTCTCAGGTGAAAGCACTGAGTTTTCCAGGCTTATCAATGGATTAAAGCTGGCAAGGAAGTTAAAAACCTCAATCATTTCTTTTTAGCAGGCTTATGACAGATAAAGGAACTCTGAAGTATTTCTATTCCTCCCCAAACGGGGAATGTCAGATAGACTGTTTCCTGCTTTCCTTCTTAAGAATATGGCGTGGGAGGTCTCAGAAGTATTGAATTGCTTTTCCTTAATCAAAAAGACAAGAGTCTTGGAGCTTTAATAGAGACATATTTTCTTCTCAAGAGTTCTCAAACATTTGAGCTACACCGGATTTAATGATACAGGAGTTTTAAAGGGGCTGAGTAAATCACCACTTTTGCTTTTCCTCGAGTGACGTGCTGATGATAAAGCTTCTGTTAGAGATCTGCTTTCGGGAAAATACCAGCATTAAAACCAGATTGAATTTACTGTGTCTGAAAAAAACGGCAGTGGAAAAAAACATGCCTCAAATACATAAATGTTACTGTTCAACACAAAAATGTCAAATGTGCATGAGATCTCTTCTGTTCTTGGAGACCTCGGTTCTATTCAGTAAATATATTCAGTTACTAGTGGTAACTTGGAAGACTTAAGAGCAGGGAGGAGAAGGAGGGATAACCAAACAGAAAGCTGACAAGGGCTGCAGCTGTGCAAGCATGGCTTGTCTGGCTGGAGCTGTGGCGCCGCGGCCGAGGGATGAGTGAAAGCCCTGGTAGGTCACAGCACAGTTTGTCCTTTCTGATTTACGAGTCCCACACTTTGAGTATGTCTTGGCTTTGCTGTGTTAATGGCTTCAAGTGCCCAGGAGTGTGTGTGTATCTTAGGCAGGCACCGGTTGTGTCGGGTCTGTCAATCATCAGGCAGCAGCGCTGTGCAAACACACTGCTGCATTCTCACACTCTTGAGAAGACTTATGCTTTCCAAAATGTAAAGCCAGGGGTATGTCACTGTGCTTTCCAAACTGGACCCTAAAGAGGGATTAAAAGCAGACAAAAGGGTCTCACTTGCTGATCAAGGTTATGGTGCATTGCCATGTGAACACTGCAACCAGTATTTCCAGCACAGTCACTCAGATCATGCGGGTGCTGTCAAGCCAAGGGGAAGGAAAATAAATAAAGCAATATGTTTGCAGGTACTGCAAATACATCACATCCTGTTTATTACATAGAACTCCTCCCACCCTATTAATAAAACGTCCTTAAGGTTTCAAAGTGGAAAGCTCAGCAGCTGCTGATGCAATATGACAACAGCAGAGTGATGATGTTTTATACCACCCACAGATCAAGTCTGAAAGCTTTACTTACATACTGCAAGGCTATTTGCATAAGGCCTTGCCTGCTTTGGTGCACAGGAAATCTGGTGGTGAAACAATTCAGTTGTGTTACAAAATTAAAAAGCATTCTAAAGACTTAAGACATTAAGTGCTCTTTGTGTGCTGCTGTATTACATTCATAAAACACCCAAGCCTGGCTCTAATGGGCTGTAAATGAACTCTTGGTGAAAAATTTATCAAAATAAAACTACAGACAGCCTGGGAGAGTGCCTTCCAGGTTCCTCATAAAGACTTCATATCAATTAGCAAAGCTAGTCCCAGAGAGCACATAACAGGCTTTACACTAGGCCTTGCAGATGCTGGGAGGTGACTTTATTTTTTACAATACCAGTATTTACACCAACTGTGGGCTTGGGGGGATTTTCAGTGAGAGCAAGGAAATGGTATCGTTTAGAAGGGAAGATAAACAAAATTGTAACTACCAGGAAAATGGGAAGTCAGAGCTGTGTGGGCTGAGTTTTGTCCTTATTTGGCTTTGGGGAATTATGTGATTTTATTCTATGACTCAGAGTTGTTTTTACAGCATTTGCGTCACCCAGAAAAGTTGAATCTGCATAAGACCCAGCATGTTCCAGGAGAGAATATTTTGTTCTGTAATGTGAACTTGCTAACAGACACTGACAGCTTTCATGTTTTGCTTCATTATTAGTATTATTGTCATTCAGGCATAAACTTCAAGATGTCTCAGAGCTATCAGTTTGTGTTACTGCAGCAAGTATATGCAGTATCAGGGAAAATCAAAGCACTTGGAGAATCATTTTACAGATCAGCAATAGTGAATTCCATTTCTGGAGAGGGCCCTAAGCTTTCAGTTTCCCTCCTTTGACCCCTGTTCACATGTGGAAAAACACAGCCTGTGTATGATGTGGATAATGTAACTGCCCCCCTCAGTTCCACCCGGATCTGACCATATTATTTTGCTTGCAGAGCCTAACCCATTATAGGTGCCACAAATTAGTCCCTGCC